CATACATAACATATATGCATCATTAGACCTTTCTCAACATATTTTCTACTATTTAATTGCTGTTCTAAATGTTTCAAAGTGATTGATTGGGTTAATTTTCTCATCAATTAAAATCATTTGATTTAGTTGATTATTTTCAGATCTTGATTTCAGTTCATAAATTGTTAAGGTGATGAGAATGTTTTGTTTTTGTGTTAAAGTCAGCACTCTTATTATTAATTTAACCTGGTGCTACTTAGGCCATACAGAGACCATTATTTTAATTTGTGTAATTTTTTGTTCACATGCCGTTTACTCATCTCTATTTTTTTGATAATTTATTTTAGTGCTACTTATGTTGTATCAGAAAAGTATTTTCTTTAATTTTATATCATATAGATGTGAACATATTAATTAGACAGAAATGAATCCACTGATTAATTAGTTCAATATTTGTAAGCTGAAGGGAGATTGTTTAAATTATTTTACATTTTTTATAAGAAAGTTCACTAATTCGCTTCTTCTAAGAAACCAAAATTAACACAAACAATTTTATAATTTAAACAAAAAATAAAAAGAACTTTTCTTCTGTCAATTAAAAAAAAACTTTTGTTCTGTCATAATTATCCAATTCTTAATTGAACTGTGATTAAGTGCAAATACTCTTTTTTCAAAATTAATGATTTAATGAAAAAAAATCTTTCATTCTGTCAATTTAAAAAAATCTTTGTTCTGACAATTTAAATGATTCAGGACAATTCAAATTGTTTTTTGGAACAATGGTGAAAAAATTTTAAATTCTGTCAATTTATGTGATTCAGGACAAAAAACTTATCACTCCATATAGCCCTAAATAGCAATTATGGTAGTGCATTGAGGCGAATAAATAAAAACAGCAACCAGTGAGTAAATTCAAGCTCTCCCAGCTGGTATTTCAACCTTGAGTCGTTCCTTCTTGAGTTCTGTCTCAAAATCACACTAACAGACTGTTCTTGCCGCCAACCGTGAACGTCTCTCGAAGAACTGCCCCACTGTGGAAAAAAAGTAGTTGCTTTTATATTTGTCCATAATCCCTTGGGTTATCATGTGATCCCATAGTTCATTGCGTCCATGTCCCATAATGCATTGCATCTTTATTGCATAAAAATGCAATGTAAGTCTCCCCTCATTCTTTTACGTTATCTGGCCAAGGACGGATTACGGCAGAGCAGTAAGTGCTTTTTTCTCCCTCATTTCAACTGCAGTAGCTTTACATGCTAAGCAAATACGGGCTCTTTTTTGGTGGGGACAAGGCAAGTCGCAACCAGTTGTGCTCGTCCCAGGTTCTGTCTCATGTCCGCCACACTCCCCACTGACCTCCTGATCACACAGATGACAGTGCAGATACGGTCTTTTGTTCCTGGTGCTCCTCCGAAGGGGGATTGGTTGAACTTCTTCATCAGAGGAGCTCTCATTAGACACGTCCCGATCTATTGGCAAACTACCACTATCGGAGTGATTGGTTGTTGAATCCAACTCTATGTATATTGGCTGTTCACTATCCTCCGTGTCTTCTTCGTCAGTTGTGGGATTTGAGCCCAAAAAAGGGTGATGGTCTCTAACATGACGACGCATCCCATCAACCCGCACTGACTGCTGACTCACCACCTCGGTCACACGTCCGGTTCCAAATTTGGTCGTGCATTTACCACGTGGAGTCTTAACCCAGACAATGTCCCCTTTCTTGTATTCCCTTTCGGTTATTTGTGATTCAGGCGGGGGCGTCACATCGATGCCTCTCACCCGGACGTGGTATGTGTGCAGTACATCAGCCAGTGCTGTGGAAGGTGAAAGGTTGTCCTTAGGTGTGATGTTATGCCAGTAAACCGCTTGCAAGACTGAACAATTTTTCCTGGCCACTATGGTTTTGATGCTTCTGTGGTTGCGTTCCACAATGCCATTTCCAGATGGCACGTAAGCGCACCGGAACCTCAAATGCACGCCCCAGCTGCTTACAAATTCCTTAAATTGTCTGCAAGTGAACGTGGTGTCATTGTCAGTCAGTATTTCAGTCGGCAGGCCTTGTTCATAGAAGACTGTCTCCAGCTGACGAATGACACCAGCAGAGTCTTGCCGTCTCAGTGGCTGCCATACTGCAAAATGGGAGGGACCACAGTCAATGAGCGTAAGAAAAAGGCTACCATTGTAATGGGTCACGTCCATTGCTAACCTGCTCCAGTTTCTTCTCACACTCAAATTTCCTTTTTCCCAATGCACTGGTGCAGGATCGATCGATTGGCAGGCTTCACAGGTTCTAACAACAGATTTTATCAGTTCCTTAGACACCGTTGGATCTATGGTCCTAGCAAAGTACATTGTTCTTTTAACACCTGGGTGCCCACTCTGCTGGTGGATGTGGGTCACCTGACGTTTGTTCAACTGGCTCGTTGCAGTGGCACAACTCACTTGTACCGGTTCTCCTCCTTTCTTGTGCATCTCCAACCAGCGTTGCGGCACTCTGGTGAGGCTGTCATCATGGTTCTGACAAGATTTTACCAACGTCACAGTCATAATCAGTGCGTACTCCTCCACCAAAGCTCGCAGTGTCTCTAAGCACCGCCTCATCAGCATTTCACCCGCTGCCTTCATGTTCATGCGCGTCTTTCCTGTCAGGGTGTCAGACACCCACCGATGCACACATGCTGAATCGGTGACCACATGTATAACTGGTGCCTGCCACTGCAGGGCAAGATTCACGCCCTTGATCACCGCATCAAGCTCCGCAAGATTAATGTGTTTGGCATCATTGGTTGGATGCAACCAGCAAGCATCTTCCACGACGCTCCCATTCACCTCTAGTGCTACTCCCGTAGCCACAGAGCTTGCATCCACCCAAACTGTCATTTCATTGCCGTTCACACACCAGTCTCCACTGACAGGATCTGATTCCCGCACTCTGGCCACTGTTTCCTCCAGCATACGTCCAAGAGGGGCATCCTTTATCTCGTTGTCCCATCCTTTGGTTAGTGTACTTGGTATAACGTTAATAAATGCAGTTGCCACCCTAAGCCAACCGCACACAGGGAAATGACCCACGAGTTTCCCACAAGGAAAAATACGCTCAAGGGGTCACCATTTGAGCAATTTCTGAACCTGACCTCCCTGCTTCCATCGAAGGGAGTTGCTTTCTTCCCAGACTTGCAGACCCAGGACCTTAGTTCCGTCTCTCTCAATCGCTCCGGATCTTTACAGACTAATTAATAATCTGCAAAGTGCTGTCTTTACGCACGCTGCACAAACTAGGCCTTCATTTATGAAGATATCGTCGATATATGCCGACGTGGCACTTTTAATGTCCTGATCCTGGGATGTTATCGTGTCAATCACCGACTTCAATGACAAGTGGTGCCACATTCAGGCCCAAACCCAAACGCATAAGGCAAAACCAAAACCCTTAATGACCACTGTTTGAAACTGCCATAGCGATTTGTCAATGGAATCTGTAGGTATGCATTTCTCAAAATCCAACAGCGATACGTCAGCTCCTTGTCGTCGCCATTCTCGTGGATTTCTGCACACACCTCTTTCAATAAGCCGTGAATGCGCTCCCAAAGCCGCTTCAACTCCGATAGTCAAGCACCGGCCTTCACCAGACCTTCTGTTTGTGTTCTTGTACGACCGCCATTAAGGGAATTAATCCCTTTGGTGGGCCAATACCTGGCACCTTCGTCATCTGTCATAATAGCCCTTGCTTGGGTCAGAATCTATTCTAGATTCATGTCGTCCATCCTGGACGAAGCTTTGAGAAGTTGCCTAACATGACGTGGCAGCCCTGACACAAATGCACATGCCATCCACCCCATCAGGTAGCGGTTCTCCCATTAGCCGCGCCAAACGATGCATTTTCAGCCAGGAATTCATCCACCGTTTCCCCTGGTCGGAGACGCTGTCCCATAAATTGGTCGAACGCATTAAATCTGTCAGTCACGTATGCAGTCATAAGGGTAATGTTTATTTTGTTCCGCTCTGCCCTCTGCTCCTCACTGAGTTGTCTATACACAGCAAGGGCACCGCTCGCAGTCGTCCATTTACAAGATGCGCTAGATCTTGTCCATGGAACAAAGTTCGCAGACCAATTCCACATTTTCTATCCATTCAACAATGGGCATATCCGTTGGGGTTTAACTGAATTCTGGAATCAAACGGACGTCAAAGACCTTGCCTTCCATTTTGAAGAATCAATATGCCGAAATAGCTTGAGGCAAATAAAGAAAAACAGCAACCAGCGAGTAAATTCAAGCTCTCCCAGCTGGTATTTCAACCTTGAGTTGTTCCTTCTTGAGTTCTGTCTCAAATTCACACTAACAGACTGTTCTTGCCGCCAACCATGAACGTCTCGAAGAACTGCCCCACTGGGGAAAAAAAGTAGTTGCTTTTATATTTGTCCATATACCCATAATCCCTTGCATCTTCATGTGATCCCATAGTTCATTGCGTCCATGTCCCATAATGCATTGCATCTTTATTGCATAAAAATGCAATGTAAGTCTCCCCTCATTCTTTTATGTTATCTGGCTGAGGACGGATTACGGCAGAGCAGTAAGTGCTTTTTTCTCCCTCATTTCAACTGCAGTAGCTTTACATGCTAAGCAAATACGGGCTCTTTTTTGGTGGGGACAAGGCAAGTTGCGACCAGTTGTGCTCGTCCCAGGTTCTGTCTCATGTCCGCCATATGCATGTATAAAATGCAAAATATGGGGTAGTACAAAACAAATTGAATAGAAAATCAATGAGAGTACAATAAGCAAAATAATGAAAACAAAACTGAATATGCTTGATTAAATGTTAAGATATAGAAAAGTGTGTGAGGCAGAAAGATCTGATTAGTGAATGAAGAAATTTTGCGATAATATATGAAGATGAACTATAACAAAATGAATGAAATAAAATATAACAGAAATTGGAAAAAGAAAAAATATTATAAACTCTGTTAAACAGTGATGACAATGATCATAACTAAGGTAATGTTGACATTTCCTTACCTTTGACCTTAAGTTCATTGAAGCTCATTTGTACAATTTGGTGTTCTTGAGTGACAGGCACGAAAGAAGCTGAAAATTTGTGGTTACCTAAATTTTTCACATAACAAGGTACTCTTCCACCATTTACTTGAATTTCCAAATTACCGGAACCAGCTTGTGAAGCATCAACTAAAATACAGAAAATTATTAAAAATTCTAATTTATGGTGACCAATAAATCAAGAGATGTAATACCTATTATTGTCTGCTACTTAAATTAAAAGATTCAGTTTCACATTTAAAAACTGTATGATTATAAACCTTATGTTCATATTTCATGTATATGTATATTCACACCTTATATCTAGGGATTATTGCTGAGTAAAAGTAAGTCTCCTCACTATTCTAGCTGTTTTAAAAAATGCTATCATCTGAATAGTTTTGAGTCTTTCTTAGATTTCCAGTTTTTTCAACCTTTTTACTAGCCTTTTGAAGCATTCCATTAGCAACAGACATAACTATTATTTTTATGCGTTCTACTTTTTCAGTTCTTTTGCAAGGTTTAAATATTTTTAGTTTCTAACTTTCAATTTTACCCTGTGGTTGAGTGGAAAAGTGAAATCCACTATGTGATAAATTTTCTTCTTCTTTACAAAGTCTGGTGATATGTTTGAATCTTAAATTCTGCTTTGTGCATATATCCTTAGCATTAATTTTCTAAATGTATTCTAATTCTATGATAATGATATGTCCCTGAAAGGGATATATTTGTTCGAAGTAGCAAGTGGTTGTTGACTACTGTAACTGGGTAGGACAATCTAGCTGTAACTGTAATTGACCGGTGTTTGTCGTAGTGGTAGTCAATAGGTGAAGACAATAGGCATTGTCAATAGGCATCCCCCATACCTCCACATCAGTCTGTATTTATGGCTGATGCCAATCATATTACTGTGAGGGGGAACCCAGGTGTATGCATATTCATTACATCACCTCCCCCTGAGCTAAATTTTCCCATGAAATTTAGCTTAAATATTTTCTCTTTTTAGGGTCTGGACTTAATCTATTGATTTTTTTCCCAAGTCTTTTTCACCTCACTCCTCCTTGCAGTGGTGGCATTTGACACACTGGTACCTCTGTCCTTGAGGTCAGGGATACCTCCATTGGCGAATGTTGACTTACTGGAACGGGAATTTCAAATGTATCATACAGGACTTCCATTGGAATCTCTTCGGTATTTTCTGTGACCTCTGTAGTGTGTCTGGGTCTCAATTGATTCCAATGTCTTTTGCACCAAAGTTTTTCCCCTTTTATGTCATATATGACTTGTCCAATTCTTTTGGTTATCATTCCTTCTTCCCAATACATTTTTCCAGTCCTAAAGTTCTTGAAAAAAAACTTTGTCACCTGGCTTAAATGCTTTAGTTATCTGGTTTTCTTTTTTAGCAGTTTTCTTCACCGGCTTGGCAAAAGCCTGTCGAACACAGAGCATATTTTTCTTGCAAACATTAACTCTGCTGGCAACAACCCTGATGTTGTAATTTTGTGTCCATGCCTTGCTTTTTCTTCAATGCTCGTTTAAAGGTGTCCATGAATTTTTCCACCTGTCCATTTGATCTTGGATGATATACTGGCATTGTCATGTGATCAATGTACAGAATTCCTTGAATTCTTTTCCCGTAAACTGCATTCCGTTGTTGCTGACTAAAGTTTTAGGGAGTCCAAAGCGACTAAAAATTTCATTAAGTGCATTTATTGTATTTGTTGCAGTTGGATGTCTGCACTTAACAATTTCTGGCCACTTAGTGAAACTGTCCACAATGATCAGGTAATAAGATCCATTTATGGGTCTTGCATAGTCAATATGCAATTGAGTCCATGGGACATCTGTCTTTGGCCATGGTTGAATCTTTACCGATGGACCCATTGCTGCTAGTTGACACCCTCTGCATTGTTTCATCAGATTTTCTATGTCTTGGTCTATCCTCGGCCAAGAAGTATAACCTCTCATTAGAGATTTCATTCTCAAAATCCCTGGATGGCCAGTGTGAAATTCTTTCAGAATTTTCTTTTGCAGTGTAACCGGCATTACAACTCTATCTGTGTATAGTAATACCTGTTCGCAGATTGAAAAAGGTGACATACTCATTCCTTTTTTAGTTGTCTCGTTCAACCAGACTTGCTTTTTCATTTTTTTTATGAAATCATTGTTCACTGCTGCTTTTTTCACATCTACTAGTGTAAACAGTAGTTCTCTAACAGTGTTGCATAACAGACCCGACAATTCACTTTTGTCCCTTAGCGCTGCTATTACTGTTTCTTCCAGTGGTTCTGTATATTTAGGTATCAATCTTGATAACCCATCGACGTGAAGGCACATATTCTATTCTGAAATTATAATTCAATAGAATTTTACCCCACAATGCTGTAGATGATTTGCTGTGAGTTGGTATACCTTTTTTTGAACCAAATATTTGTTAACAGCAGTTTGTGGTCTGTTTGCAGAATAAATTCTCTTCCGTTCATAGAAACCTGTGAAATTTTTATACAGCGTAGATTATTGCTAAACTCTCTTTTTTGATTTGACTATAACTTTGTTCCATGGGCAATATAACGTTCTCGAGGCATGAGCTATTGGCTTTGAAGATCTGTCCTCGAATTTATGAAGCAATACCACACCTAGTCCCTCATTACTGGCATTTGCTGCTACAATGATTTTATCTTTGGGTCCAAATGCACTAACAATAGGTCTGCTAATATTTTTTTTTTTTTTAAAGCCTGTCCGCATTCTTTCAACCATATCCACTTTGCACCCTTTTTCACCAAATTATTTAAAGGAACTCTCATATCATACATTTTTGGGATATAAATGCTATAGTAACTTACTAATCCCAAAAAGGCCTGGAGTTTACCACATTATCAGGTACTGGCATATTTTTTATAGCCTCAGCCCTTTCTGAATCCAGTTTACTTCCTTTACCAGAATGATCTGCCCTAAATATTTTATCTTCTTTAAGAAGAACTCACCTTTTTCAGCACTCAGCCTGAACCCGTATTCCTCAATTCTCTGAAATACCACTCTAATATGCGTTTTTTGTGTTGGGCCTCATTTTCACTTTTAATCAAAATATCATCTAAGTATGTAATTGACATTCCATACCAGCCAATATTGTGTCCATTATTTGCTGGAATAGGCTTGGAGTTACCTTCAATCCAAAAGGAAGACAATTTAGTTTATAAATCCCTTTATGCGTGTTTATTGTCAGGTATTTTGAACATTCTTCACTGACTTTAACCTGAAGGTAAAATATCCAACAAGTCCAACTTTGAAAACACTTACCTCCATTTAATTTAATGAATATATCCGCTGAAGATGGTAGAGGGTATGCATGGTCTTTCACACAATCATTTAAACCTGTCGAAAAATTAGCATTATACTCTGATTTTTTTTTTTTTATATATACGGTTGGAGACACCCAATCTGAGTAATCAACTTTTGAAATTACGCCAATTTTTTCTCCAACCTTTCTAATTCCTCATTTATTGTGTCTAGTGCTGAAAATGGTACTTTTCTCTTTGGTTTAAAGATTGGTTTAACATTTTCTTTCAATTCGAAGTTGACTTCTGTTTTTGTGCACAGACCTAGTCCTTCTGAAAAGACGCGAGGGAATTCCCCTTTCAAACTGTAATAAATTTTTGTTTGCTTCGTCTTATAGTTCTCTATGATGTTAACTTTGTTACAGAAAGAATTTACTGGTAATTCCCATAAATTAAACAATACGATCCAGTCTAAACCAAAGAGGTTTACTGAATCAGGGAGCACATACACTTTTGATTTGTGAATTTTTCCCATGAACGAAATGTTCACCTCTAAACTTAAGTCTTTTTCCTGACACTCCCCTGACAATTTTGTCTGTGTTAGTCAACTGTGGGTAACTGATTTTTTTTCCATGTTTGCTCGTAATTTTCCATTTTTATTACTTTTGTTTCTAAGTTTTAAACATATTAGGAAGATTTTGAGTATTTTCAGAAAGTATAATTTAAGCATATTTGCAATATGATCATTAAATATTATTTTTCCTGTAATATCCAAATTTAAAATAAATTCATTTTAAAAATTCATATTAAAAAATTTGAACCATATTGTGTATTTGACATTTTATGATATTACTAATGAAAAGAGAGCATCAAATAATTTTCATTGTTTCTAGATTATTGATAAATATTTATTAAAAAAAATAAAATAATTGTCACATCTATCATGACACTATGTCTGATTTTTTAAGCAAATCATGTTTTTGTAATAAAATTGGTATTAATCAATTGACATGTCATTTCCATTCCTCAATAACATTTTCTTATTTCACTTCAGAGTATATATTTTCTTACAACCCTTCATATATCTGATATTAAATTATTAGTATTACAACCCTTATATATCTGATATTAAAATATATCAATAAATGTGCTATTATATATATATATATATATATATATATATGCATGTTTCATTAAAAACGACAGACATGGTACTACGGTTAAGCTTTTTATTTAATTGTGTTCAAACAAGAGCTTTCTTTTCTGGACAAAGTGTGTGTAAGAACTGTCCAAATGTTTTATATTTCCGAGTGCTTTCAGCTATACCTTTAGCCATTATCAAGGATGATTCGATTTTTCAGCTTAATTGAGTGTGTGCGTTATGGGTATGTCTTGGTGTGTGGTAGGGATGTTTTTAATTTCCGAATACGGTTAGCACATTGTGGCTTTGTTTGTAGTTAATATTGTTAAGAGTTGGCTTTTTCTTTTTTATTATTAAAGCTTCCATTATTTTTAGTCTTTTTTGCAGGTGGATGCAGTTAATATATTTGTGTTTTCTACTAGTATGTTTCTAATGGAGTCTGGTAAATTTGTGTGTGTTTAAATGGGTTCTAATGGAGCTGTGATCAAATAGGTGTAATGTAAGATGTCTGGATAAGCATGTAGTTGTGTAACCGATGTAATTATTTATGACTCTGGTTTGATCAGGAACACAGGGGCATTTGAACTCATAGATTATGTTCGTTCTTTGTAATTTTGACTTAGCTGGGGTGTTGTTATTTTTGGGGATAAGGTTAGCTGTCTTAAATTTTTTATAATAGATAATTAATTTGATTTTTTATCTGAGTCAATTGGAGCAGTATATTTCTTTATAATATGCCATAGTGAAGATTTGTCTTGTTTGTAATTAATATGCATTTGGCTTTTGTAATAAATGTGTATGTGATTTTTGGCTGTGTGTTCACTATCATTATTACTTACTTTGGGGAGAAATAGTCTAATTTGGTGTTCTATAAGGTGGTTAGGGAAGCCGTTGTTGATTAGTGTTTGTTTAACATTATTAAGTTCTTTGAGGAAGAGTAGTTGAGAGGATGAATTCTGGTGTGCTATATTTAGAAAGTTTTTTATTACAGCTATTTTGTACCTAAGGGGACATTCGCTTTTGAAGTTAAGGTGACATGAGTTTTTGCTGGTGGGTTTTTTGTATAATGATGTAATGAAAGTGTTATTGCTGTATTCAACGAGGACATCTAAGAATGGAAGTTTGTTTTTTGGCTAAGTTCATATGTAAAGTTGAGGACGGAGTTTTTTCTCAAATGGGGTTTTAAGTGTCTTTATTTCTTTAATGTTATTAGCTAAAATAAAAATATCGTCTATATAGCAAACATATATTTTCGGTTTACAGACCTGTGTAAATATTGTATTTTCTATGTGAGACATGTAATAGTTGGAAAAGCATGGACTGAGTGGATTTCCCATACTAACAAATGGGTGTAAATGTTGCCATTATGGTTATAGAATGGAACTTGGGTTGTGCATGTGTGTAATAATTTTTTTTAGGATGGATGGTTTGATGGATGGAGAGATAGAATTATTAGTATATACAGAATTGAGGATAATATCAATAGTTTGGTTGATGGGGACGTTTGTAAATAAGTTTTCGACATCAAGTGATGCTACTATACCTTGGTTTGTTTTTTTTTTAGTTTTTCCAGAAAAGAAAGCTCTTGTTCAAACACAAGAAAAATTAAATAAAAACCTTAATCGTAGTACCTTGTCTGTCGTTTTTAATGAAACATGCATAAACGAAGGATTGCTGCCTAAATATACAATATATATATATATATATATATATATATATATATATATATATATATATACATACAATATTATGAACAACCTTTTGAGTTGCATAATAAAATTTCATATCACACTAGTTATTGCAAGTATTTCTAACAAAAATTTAAGCTGTAATTCACATTGTTGCAAATAAACTAATAAAAAGGACCTCATAAATGTTTATTCTAATTATAACACCAAAATATAATCTGGAATAATTATCAGATTTTATTTAAAAGCACTCAGAATTTGTAGTAATCAATATTTACATGATGAGGAGAAATACACTGAAAATACATTTAAGCTCTTCCAATCCCCTAATTATTTCACATTCAATATGAAACTGAAGGCTTGTCAAATATATGAAAATGAAAGATTGAACTATTCAAGCAAATCCACAAAATTGAGATATATTACTCTACCTACTAACTGTATCACAACTACAATTGAAAAGAATTTATTTAAGCTTAACATAAAATTCCTTACAACTACTACAAAAACAATAAGAGACTTAATGCAAAAAAAAAATAATAATAAGCTAATACTTGAAGAAGGAATTTACTATATGATTGCAAAAAATACATAGGGAAAAACTCTAGGAATTTATATAAAAGATTATATGAACACAAAGATCTTTTACAAAATAACACATTAGTTGCTCCCCATAATGATACTGACCATAATTTTTGTTTAAAAAACCTGGATTAATTAAAAGAGAAAGCAATTTATATATATGAAAATATATAGAAAGGGCTTTGATTGCTAGATCATTCACAGTAAATCAGCATCTTTAGCATTTCCTGTCAGTGCATAATTATAACTGATGCTCATGTTTTATATCTTCTCCTCCACTTTTCCACAGACAATTCCACCAATAAAAGCATTACTTTAGTTCAATAAAGTCCTTCTAGAGGACAAAATGCATTACACAGAATTTTTTTCCACTCGTTTGCTTAACATTATCATATAAATATATTCTAAACATTTTATTAACACCAGTTGTAAAAATAGTGATTTGCATAATAAAATCTGACCTAGTATGCATTTGTTTACATTCAATGTATAAAATATAATCATATGTACTTAATTGTTAACATTAAATTTTTTCAAGTTATACTTACTATCAAAATGAATATATTTCCCAGCTTCATATGTTTTTGGCATGTTTGACACAGAGACTTTATCAACATCAAACACTTTTTTATGTATATGGGCTTCCTGAGACATTCTGTTCATTATATTTGATATAAATAATATGATCCCTAAACAGACAAGAAAATGCAATGAGACAGCTGTTAACATTAAACCTGATTAAAATGGCTTAAAATTCACATGTTTTTTTTTATTTCATACATCTCAAAGAAATAAACAAATAAATATTTTAATATGTTAATGAAATGTAAATTAAAATTTACCTTTAGCAACTATAGCAGTTATAGTAGCTGAAGGTAATTTTTTTCTACATTATTCATTTGAAAGTTTTTATTTTTCTTCTGGCAGCAATAAACAAGAGTTGATACATTAGTATATTTTTTCTTAATAGAGATCATTATTTTCTTTTGTAGTTGTCTATTTAATATCTTCTGGAATTAATATTTGACTTGAACCCTGTACCAGCTCATCAAGATTGTTCAGAATTCAAGTTTAGATCTTGAAGAAATTTGTTCATATATACTATTCAGTTCTTACAAAATTAATCTATAGTAAATATTGACAGAATTTAATGATGCAATAATTTTCTTGAAAAATATTTTACATTTAATAACAAGACCATTTCATAATATTTCATTTTTATCCACACCAGGGAAATTTGTTGAGATATAAATATTGAAATAATATTATTATGCCCATATAAAATTATATCATATTAAAAAATAATGTCAATATTTAAAAAAAAACGAGGCAATTTAAATATATTTTCTTTTTGCAATATGAAGCTCTAATTAATAGCTAACTTATATTCTATATGGTCATAATGTACATTTGAAATGTAAACAAAGATGAAACAAACCTGATATTTTTGGAGTGAACTGAATGCTATGTACTTGATTATTTTTGCTAATGTCAACTGGTAGGCTTTGATTTGATGGAGCTTGAGAGGAAAAAAATAATGAATGTGGACATATATGCAGATATCACATATAACTATGGCTACTTTCAAGATTAGAGGAAAGCATTATAAGTTATAAAGAAAAAATGTTACAATTAGCAGAAATAGATTGAATAAGTGAAAAGAGAATTCTTTAAGAAATTTCTCAGTTGCCTTTTATTTATCTCTTTATAATTATTTTGAAATTTAAGTTTATTAGGTTTTTTATTAAGATTTGTGACATTTGGTTAATTATTTTGATATTAAATTGCAATGAAATAAAAAAAATGTAAATGATTACTGAAAATCAATGTTTGTGATCAAATGGAAAAAGAAAATGATTGATCAAAATGTTCTTCATAGTCAGTTGGATTTTGAGTATTTGTTAAAAGTGTTATTTGAGAAAGAATGACTATCACATTTGAAAAATATAAGTAAAAATTAAAACAAATTAATTTTATCTATAATATAAAATTATAATTTTATCTATAAAATTTATTTTATCTATAATATAAAATTATAATTTTATCTATAAACAGGATACATATCTAATTTCTGATATGATAATGATATGATAATGATATGATAATCATATGATAATGATATGATTTCTGATATGATAATCAATAGATATCTTGAGAAAATTTCAAATAGTAATTTTTCTGTTCATGTCTGAATTTTTTCAGACAAGGTATTTTGATTCACTTTCTAATTTTCTTGTCTTTGTTGTATTGTATCACAATGTTTCAGTCACTATAGCAGTGGTCGGAGGAAACCCAGAAAGTTCAGTGCCCAAAACATTGTGATGAAAAAAAACAACCAAGAGAAATAAATTAGTTGAAAATAATCAAAATAAAATGGTAATATTTCTGATTTGAATGAGAATGTAATGAATGATTTTTTGAATAGAATTTGTTTACTATCTGAATTTTTGGGATGAGTATTCATTATTTACAGTATTTTTATGTTGACAATTATCCTTATCTTTAACTGAGCAGTACTAAAAAGTAAGAACTAGACAATATCGCTAGACATGGGCAATGGAATGAGAACAGTCTACCCCCTTAGATTAAATAAAGGGTTCATTTCATAATTCCCTATAAATCAATATTTCAATATGAGGAAAGTCAGAGGGCACAGTGGCCAAAAAAACAAGATGAGAACAATAGTCTAAATATAAATAATGTAAATAATACTCCCAACCTTCCCAGAAATTCAAACAGAAATTATTGAATCAATATGGACCCAATGTAATACGCCAATGGAGACGATCAGAAAAACTCCATGAAAAATTATCAAAAACCTAGTTCCACAAGGCTTATCAATCAAGACATCAGTTCATATCAAGAAAGCACAAACGGTATTGGGAAAAGCAGCATGCTCTTGTGAGAAAAAGGATTCTCCACATCCACTGGAGGAAACATCAGCTGGAACATGAAATATCCAAACAGACCTAGACATTATTTAGCAAGATAACTCTTGAAATGGACAAATACAAAATCCAACAAGACCTGGATAAGTCATACAGTCATTTAAGAATTTCAAAGGATCAAGGCTCACCATGTATATAAACTCACATGGATGAAATAATTTGAAGTAGCAACAAGACCCACCACTGTTCAGTAAGAGCAGTTGTTAATATTAGCAATCAGCAGTTGAGTGCCTTTGAGGAATTAGCGTTAAACAAAGGCCTCAACTTCACCACAGAAAGTTCCATATTTAGACATAATAGCTCCAGTGGAGAAGATAGCCTTGAAGATACTAAAGGACCAGGCAAATGAGTGAAGATGGAAAATGAGACAAACACTAGAAAAGGTCAAACCATCTAATTCAAATATCATAAAAGAAGAAAGGTTGGCAATCAATGCCTTACAGATTGACACTAGTATCATCATACTGCCAAGTGACAAAGGCAACACTTCAATGGTGATGGACAAGTTGGAATACTCTGAAAAATTGGCAAGCTTAGTTGTGAATGGCAGCTATAGTAAAGTGAAAAAGAAACTGACTCTAAAAACTGAGAGGAAGCTGTCATAGATCCTAAATAAGAACAAGGACTACTTCGCACTTAATAGGTCTAGACAGCTGACTTAATGTGATATCAATCTACTGCACATGTATGGTTTCCTCAGGATTCACAAATTTGGTATTCCATTGAAACCTAATGTCAGCTGCAGGGGCCACCCACTGAGCAGATTCCTAGTGGATATAGTCAAACCACTAACAGGGAAGTCCTTGTCTAATGTTAGAAACTCAGAACACTTAGTGGAACTGTTCCAAGGGACTCCCATCCGTAACAATCAGATGGTAAGCTTGGATGTGGTAAGCCTGTTCACCAGAGCTCTTAAAGATAAAGCCCTGACAATGGTTTGAAACCAATTGGAATCAGACTCCTCCTTGAGAGAATGTATTCCAATAGATAATCTAATGAAAATGTTGATGTTCTGTGTACAGACAACATTCTTCCAACTAGAATTTCACAAATACCAACAGCAAGAAGGCTTGGATATGAGCTCACCATTGTCATCAGTGAGGACAGACATATATATGGAATACTTTGAGGAAATGGATTGAGACATGGCACCACTAAAGCCAGTAGTATGGCTGAGATACATAGATGACACCTTCATACTCTGACTGCGCCAGGAAGCTGAAAAAATACTGCAGGACCATATGAACTCAATAAGACTTTCAATCCAGTTCACAGTGGAAGAAAGTAATAATCATCTACCTTCCTGGATGTACTAATAACTCACACAGAGAATGGTTTCAACACATCCTTACATCAAAATATTCAGAAGATCTGTGGTCCACCTTCATTGGACAATACCTCAACTTTAATTCCCACCATCCATACAATGTGTAGAAAGTGTAACAGAGAGAGAGAGAGAGAGAGAGAGAGAGAGAGAGATCCCCCCCACCAGGTGGGTTTATTAATCAACGGTTCTAAAGGATTGGGAAGAAGGTACTAATTAGTTGGGTAGAAGGGATTCCGGATAAATTCCAGTAATAAGTTTTTCTTTTTACTTAGTTGTTTCTGGGATTGAATTATTAATTAACTAGGTGAATTAATTCCAGAGTAATTAATGGACGGGTTCATTAGGTAGAGCTTGTGATAAATAGTGAATTGGATTTTGGGTGGTCTGCTGGGCGAAATCCGGCCAGAGACCTCAGATGAGATAAGTGCTTTTCGCTGCGCTGAAGTGGACATTGTCTGCGGAAAACCGAGCAGGGAGTCCAAATCCGATTTTAGTACCTCTTGAAAACTCAGTTCCCATGGAGCTTCAGAGATCCGGCGGAAAACACATGGTGGTCCAGGCAATTTGCATATTAAAATTTGTGCCTAAAAACTGCTTAGCTCTGCCTCTCTCTATATAAGTGGCCTGCACGCTTGGGTTGAGCAGATGAGATCAGAGATCAGATCGAATAGGATTGGAGAACACGTCAAAACGTGAGAGAAGTGGCAGAGAGAGAGAGAGCAAGAGAGATCACAGATCAGAGATCGCAGATTAGAGATCGCAGATCAGAGAATGTGAAGGAAAATGCGGCGGAAATGGCTTGGTGGGTCTTGCTGATCTGGCCAGTTGGTTGCATGCGTCAAAAAGTCCGAACGGTACCCAGAGATAGAAATCGAACCCGTGAGAATCCTGATAACTTCGTCAACAAAGCTGAGACTATATTGGAGGGGGCGGACAAAGAATCACGACTTATCTCCCTTAGTACAGCCGAATTTCGACTGGCATAATTGTCTTCCTCTCTCTGTGACGTTCCAACCCAAAAGAGTGAATCTTGTTAAGACAGTTTGTATTCGTGAAACTTTGTTGATAGTGATATAAAAACAGTAGCCTTAAAGGGCTCTTTGTACAGGAACCGAAAGTGTTGCTTATATTTTTTCTTTCTTTGTGCCCTTGCGGTTACAACAAGAACCTTTCTGCACCAATAGCGATTTCTTTCAGCATGGAACCCAGCCATTTAATTCATCCGGATAGTGGGGGTTCCTTCAGTTCACTGGAGGAGGACCGGGTGGTTTACTTTTCGGCCAGAACCACCGGAGATACAGGACAGAGCTGTAGCCGGCAGGGCTTCTATGTCAGAAAAGGGATTGTTCAATGCCTACAACCCTGGGCAAAAAGCATAAGTTGCAAACCAGGCACATTCCAACAAGAAGTGATCAGCATCAAACATATCCTTCAAAATAACAATTACCTGGCAAACATAATATCAGCATCTGCACATGAGAAAAGAAGGTACAAGGAGGAAGACCAAAAGATTTCCATGGTCTATCTTCTGTCAGGGACTTATTAGAAAATATTCAGAAGATCTGTGGCCCATAAAACATCAAGACAATATTCAGAAGCAGTTTCACTCTATAGGGGAGAATATGACTAAGAATTGCATGTACTCAATTCCTTAAAGTTGTGGCTTAAAAGGTGAAACAAGATGCCCCCTAAAATTAAGGCTGGAAGAACTTCACAAAGCTGTAGTAAGAGGTGAGACAACGAAATCAGGTATATCTGATCATGTATAGAAGGAAGCCCCTGTAGAATGAAGTGGACAAGGAAGAACAGTGGAGAGTTAGATATCTGAAAGAATCAGCACATATTCCAGGCTATGAGTACTTCCTTACTAGGTGTAGCATAGAAGTAAATACAATATGGGAGACATTAACAAAGAAAGAAAGACAAATGAGAGCAAGTCTTCAACAACAGCAGCAGTCAAAACATCACAAGCAGCAGCAGTCAAAACATCAGAAGCAGCAGCAGTCAAAACATCAGAAGCAGCAGTAGTCAAAACATCAGAAGCAGCAGCAGTCAAAACATCACAAGCAGCAGCAGTCAAAACATCACTAGCAGCAGCAGTCAAAACATCACTAGCAGCAGCAGTCAAAACATCAGAAGCAGCAGTAGTACTAATCAGCATGTAGGTTAGGTTTAAAACTAAGTTCACTACAGCAAATATGGACAATGGCCTAGTGGATTAAAATGGTGGTTCATGAATTTGGT